TTATCCATCTTAAATATCTAACCAACAAACATGTGCATTGTACTGTGAACACTGAACAGAAGCTTGTACCAACACTTGGCTTTAGGCGTAATATGGCACTGACTTTCTCTGAGAATAGCTGCACCCTTAACAACCACTACCAGTGGTAGGAAATTAAGTCATTCAGTCTCTGCCTCTGTCAATCTCTCTCTGTCTCTCTGTGTGTCTGTCTGTCTCTGTCTCTGTCTCTCTCTCTCTGTCACACACACACACACACACACACACACACACACCATTAGATATATACCCCATTAGATATAGCTCTTTCCTTTCCAGATAGAAGACTAATAAACTAGAAGTTTAGGGGCAGCACCAGGTACTAGGAATTTGGTGATGATTCTCAAGAGAATCACAGAGAGGGCTCTAGACTAAGTGCAGATCTTCTAGGGAAACAGTTTTAAGACTTTGAGGATCCATTCTGCTTCAGTGAAGCCCCCAGGAGGTGTGAAGGTTGGTACACAGTCAGAAACTCAGACTGGATACTAATTTGATCATTATCAGCCAGGGTCAACTGATACCAAAAGGAAAATGGTGCCTGCCTCACACACACATAAAAAAGGCATTGAACGAAAGTAGACTCTTCAAGATGGTAAGGGCCTTAGATAGATTTGATTCAAGTCACCTCTCATCTCTTAGCCATACAAAGGATACTGAGATCCCACTTTGCATTTCCTTTGGATGAGGCAGATAGTCCAAGCCCCCTAGAAGGATCTAGTAACTATAGACAGGCCAAGCAATTGGGAATCACCTACTACAATCTCTCCCAATTTGTAACCCTAGGCAGCCACTAGCAATGATAGAGCTGGCAGAAAAAAACTTAAGAGTGGTAGTTGTCAATGGTGTTATGATTCTCCCAACTATTCTGACTTTCTATAACAATTTCTCCTTTGTACTGCCATAGCCAGTCAATCAATTCTTGCTTAATACTGCCTCCAGCACCTTTCCTTTCTCCACCATTACCAATGTCATCATTTTGGTCTGCTATTCAATAGCTGTTTGGTGCCTTGTCTGCTGTTCCGTCTATATCACAAGATAATTAAATAAATGACATCAGACTCATGAAAAGCTCTATGATCTGGAGCCAAGCATGGAGGCACACGCCTGTGCTACCAGCACTCTAGCAGTCTGAGGCAGGAAGATCACAAACTTAAGCTCAAACCTGAGTGATTTAGTGACTGAATGAGACCATGTCTCAAGAAAAGGGGCAGAACGAATGTAGCTTAGTGCAAAGGCCCAGATTTAATTTCCAGAACTGGCACGCGCACACACACACAGTTTTGATTTGTAGTATTGTACATAAAAACAAGGCATTATTGTTATCATCAAACTAAGTCCTCTATTACAGGTAAGGGAAACCTGACACTGCCTCACTTTCAGCCACAGAAAGACAAATACATCCTCAAAAATATTGCTTTGTCCATATAATTCTTCTGCTCAACATTTTCCCCTGACATCTCATCTCTTTAATCAAACCAAAATCCTAGACCTGACAATATGCAGTCTCATCTCTGCACCATTTTGGGCTACTTAAGATGCATCTTCTAGCCATGTAAGCCACACCCACACTTCAAAATCCAGTTAAAGCCCCATTACATACAGAATAAGGACAAATTTTAAAAAGAAATTTCTTAAACATGAAGGGGCGGGGGGAACAGCTGTCATCTTAAACTTAAGAGTCAATTTTTTTTTTATTTTATTTTATTTTTTTTTTAACAGTATTGGGACCCAGAGCCTTTGCACCAGCTACAGTCCCAGCTCTTTCTTACTTTTTATTTTTGGAGAGGATTTCACTAAGTCATCCAGGCTAGGCTTGAACTTATCATCTTCCTACCTCAATCTCTGAGTCTTCTGGGAATACAGGCACATGCCACCATGCTGGGTTAAGGGTCAACTTTTACAAAGAGGGATTTTGTTTGTTTGTTTGATTCCAAAAAGCAACCTAGAACCAGCAAGATGAAAGTTGCAGAAAAATATTTCAGCAACCTGAAAAATATCCTTATTGTGCCTTTCCAGGAACCCAATAGGATGCTTTATATCTAATTCCTCATTATTTGAAATGTTTAAGCCAAAGCACAAAAGTTGGTAAGTTGACAATAATATTTTACATGAAATTCAACTATCATAAGGAAAACTGGATGAGAACTACTGTGTTTTAGATCCAAAAGGAGCTTTAGAGGCATCCTGGTCCAGACTCCTATTTTAAGGCCTGGACAGATGAAGTGACTCACCCAAGGCCACAGTTTATCTGGAGAGCAGAGAGCAGAACATGATCTCAACTTGCAATCCAGTGACCTACACCCTTACTACTGAAAGTGGGGTCCATAGGCCAGAAACATTAGCATCACCTAGGAACTTATTAGAAATTTACAACCAATCAGAATCTGTGCTTTAAGAACACTTCACTAACACTAGAAAAGTACTAACCCACAATCCCCTTTCCACACAGTGAATTTCTAATCCTAAAACTGCATATCCCAGACTGCATCAGACATTAAACTGAGGCACCACCCAATAAAATCCAGTATGGATCTCCTAGCACACTTTGGGAAACTCTTCATATATACCTACAGCTGGCTATTTCTGATACATAACATTAACATATTGAAGGCTCTAAAATAGTCTGCAGTACAGAAAACGTTAACTGTGAATTTTCCAAACAGGTTTGAGCACCAAATGCTAAACAGCAACAACAACGTTCTCTCTTTTAACATCCTACAGCTTAGGTTCTGCTGGTACACAGGCAAAGAATGTCAGTCTCCACCTGATAGCTCTTAGATGCTCAGTACTCTAAGCAGACATTCCATAGAAGCAAGTGATCATTAAGAGCTTGCTGTGCACGCCGCAACGAGGGCAAGTTTCTAAATCTTTGCCTCTTTTAAAAACAGCCAAGTTACTCATCTGTGTGATTTAGCGGTGGTCCTGCCTGAAGTCGACAAGGATGGGCAAGATGACTTCACGACCCCGAAGAGGGAGTGCACACACCACAAACCCGTGTCCAGGCTTCCACGCCTGAAGCTTCTTTGATTTCTTTTTTTCGTGTGATATAGATTTCTCAATCATGTGCCAAGAGGAAACCTGTGGCTCAGTATGGGTTTGCTCCCGGGAAAGGAGAGGACCTGAGCAGCTCCGGAGGACTCTGAGGCGCAGGGATTCTAAGCCCAGGCGAACACGGCCAGGCTGAGGCGCTCAGGTGGGTCGGACAAGCCCCGGGGCCAGCGCGCTGGCGGAGCCCCCAGACCCCCGCGCGGCCCACCCGCCGGCCCCCGCCCCGCACACCTGGCTCGGTGCCGCGCCCCAGGCCGGCGCGGAACCCCTAGCCCGCCGCGGTCAACTTCACAGTCGCAAGGAAGGTGGCGGGGCAGACGCTCCGCGGGGTCGCCGCCTCCGTACTTGTCCTGTCAGGGGCCTCGCGCCCACCTCCGGCCCCGCCGGCGACCGACGCCCAAGACCCCACGGGCCCCGCCCCGCCGCCTCGCGCCCCGCCCTCGTGGACTGCCCTACTAGCCGCCCGACCCCTACACAGCCGCTCCACCACCCCGCTCCCAAGAGGTTCAGAGGCGCTCTGCATCAAAGGAACATGCTACTGTTTCCACAGTCTTGCCCTGGCTGAGAAGTGCGCATAGAGTGCGGCTAGGAAGCCATCCATCAGGCACCAAGCTGGACACCTGAGGAGGAACTTGCGCACGCGCACTATGCCCGAGAAGCCGATGAGGACCTTGGTAGAGGAGCGCGTCGTGGCGAGCGCCCTCTAAAGGCGAGAGGGAGACTGTGCAGCGAAACTGGGCGACAAAATCTCTTGAATGTGAAATGGCTAGTTATTACACTAGCAGAAAATCGTATTTCGAAAAGTTAAAAAAATGACAAAAGAAGGAAATATGGAAACAAAGCTTTTGTTAATAGGGAGTGGTTAAAGGAAGGGTAAGGGAATAGAAAAAATCAAGTTATATTATGGACTACTGGACTCTTAGAATATTTTGCTGAGTTAACATATCTATAATATTCAAATAACGGAACTAAACAAGAAAGGGGATACAGATGAATGTCCATTTTGTATCTGTGTATTCAAAATAGGATAGATATATAGTTACATTCTCTTAATGAATAGAGGGATTTGTTCTAATGGTGTTTGTAAATAGGATATCATGTCTGCATCTTGTACAGCAATTAGCCACTAGGAAGAATGTATGCAATGTGTTAATTATTGAAACTGTCCTACCAATTTGATTTGAAACTGTCTCATTGCTATTTGTTTCTCAATAAAATTATGGCAAATAAAGTGAAAAAAAGAAACTAAAAATGAATGAGAGAAATACAAAAAACTGAAGGAAAAGGCAAAATATGCAGAACTCAATGTGTTTTATTTTTCAATGGCTATAACACTTTATCCTAGATAAGTAAATTCTAGAGATTTTCTATCATCTGATTTAGCACTTGTTCATACTGTACTGTACCGTGTACTTCAAACTTTACTGAAATAATACACTTCATGTTTACTGTTCTTAACCCCAAATACTCAAAGACAAACAAATCAAAACTAAACAAGATACAATAAAACTTTGGATGGTTTGGATATATGCATTAATTTAATTATGGTGATGTTATCACAGGTGTTTCATATGCTATAATTCACCAAATTACATACATTAAATATGTATAACTTCAAAAAAATCAAGTTATATCATGTACAGGTCATGTGTATCTAAAATCTTCGTGGCACACAGAATAAATTAAAATTAAAACAAAAAAGTCAATAAAATCTGATTAAAAATAAATGGTATTTGTTAGCTGGAGAAAAATATACCTTGCTACAACTAGTATTATTAATCATGTGGGGCTGCAAGCGTCCGCAAGCCTTTATGATAGGAATGTAAAATAACAAATTTGTGCGATGGCATTTCACACTTTTTTTTTTTTTTTAAATGGGCAGAGTTTATTGCCCAAGACAGCACTGGCTGGGGTGATCAGCGCCCAGCCGGCCAAGGCGCACACAGGGCCCGGCGGTCAGCCTGCAGCAGGAGGGGCTCAGTCCGCGCGTCCAGGTGTGGGCCGGTCTTCCGCAGGTCCTGCAGCGCGTGCTGCACAAACTCGAACGCTTGGCAGCCCGCGCACGGGCGGCTCTGCGCGGGGACGACGCTCCGGACCGAGAGCTCCTCGCGGCGCCTAGCCGCGCCACTCAGCAGCAAGAGCAGCAACGACTTGGCAGCGGTAGCAGGGACCGGTATGCGGGCGCAAGGGGGCTATGGCCGAGGAAGGACCCGGGCCGCCCTGCAGCAAGAGGTTCAGCGACACAGGCCCGCTGCTCCAGCCCACGGGCCTCACCTGACACTTTTACATTAATTTACAAATTAACATTTTGACCCAATGCACCTTCCCCCACCCCCCATAACCGAGAATCGAACTCGGGCCCTTGCCAGGTAGGTGCTTATGCCGCTGACCTATATCCCCTGCCCTCTTAATGCATCCATTTCTAATTTAACTTAAAGAAATAATCGACCAAGTGTGCAAAGATGTTGGGAGAGCAGGATTTGATGGACGGGGGTTCAATTTACAGACGCAGTTTACTAGCTGTGTGAGATCATGGGCTGTTCCCTTAACCTCTTGTCTGTTTGGTAAAATGAGAATGTTACATGACAGCATCTAGCTCATCAGGTGTTGTTAAATGAACTCAGCGACTCTCTCAGGAAGCTGAAAGAACCCGGCATCGTAGTGCTCACCTGCAAAGCCAGCCTTTGGGAGGCTGAGGCGGGATCACCACCAGCTCCGGGCCAGTCTGGCCTACACAGTAAATTCAAGGTCAGCCTGAACCATGAAGCAAGACTATGTCTCAAAAATAAATAAAACCCACAAAAGCTGAGCATGGTGGTACAAACTTGTGGGAAGGACTGCCATGAGCTCAAACCAGCCTGGGCTACTTAGTGAGTTCAAGATCATTTTGAACTGTATAGTGAGATGCTGTTGGAAACAAAACAAAATGCACACAAACAACTACCAAGAAAGAAAAGCCTCTGAGAAATTACTTATACCATATACACTTATAATACAACAGTGTAAAATGAACACAAAGCATTCACATGTTAGCTGTTTTTGTATTGACTAATTCTGTATGCAAGCAGAGCATCATGTACAGGTTACTGCACCACAGGTATGTTATTACTGTTGTTTTTTTCCCTTCTTTAAAAGTCTTATTTCAAGGGCTGGCCAGATAACTCATTGGATTAAAGTACCTGCTTAAGCAGATGCATGGACTGGGGTTATATCCCCGCATGCCTTGCCAGCCCTGTCCCTGGGGCACGCTGAGATGGTTACTGAGACTAGGGGTGGTGGCACAGACACACACACACACACACACACACACACACACAGACACGTGCATGCACATGTATGCCTGTAATCCCAGTGCTCGGGAGACTGAAAACAGGAGGATCCCTTTGAGTCCCATCTGTGTAGTGAGACCCTGTAGACCCTGTACTAAATACATTAAAAATAAAAATAAAACAAATAAAAGTCTTATTTCAGTATAATGACTAGGCTGAACACAGATTCATTCTGATAATGAGGCTTACACACAGGGAGAAGCAATAGTTAATGCCATGGACACTTCTCCCTCCTCCTGAAAAGAAACGCAACTAGCGGCCTCACTGACAGGGAACCAGACACACATGACCATGGGATACCTGCAGTCCACGGTGGCCCTGCAGCAGAGCTGCCTGGACGGAACCTAGAACCCTGCCAGCATCCGCCAGGGCAGGAGCTCATGAAAGAGAACGAGAGAGGTGGAAGCCACCAGAGATGCCCAGCAGGTCAGGTGTCCGAGCTGGCTGGAGGAGGACCCGCTGCCCTGGTTCCTCTGCCTGAGAGAAGCCCAGATAGGACAAAATCATGCACTTTCTTCATATATCTTAGGGCTCTTTCTAAATAGAGATCCTGGTTATTCATTTTCTTCTGATGCATAGAACTCCATGGCATGGGCACGTGAAATGTATTAACCTGTTTCCTCTACTTGCTACTTCACTGCAATTGCAACAAAGATGTTGTGAACAACATTGCAATGAATCACTCTGAAAGATAGTGAATATTGGTGGGATACATCTTGGTCAGATAATAAATAGATCCATATTTTTACTAGAAATCATCCCTATGCCCTTAATGAAAGAGAAATGGCATGAAAAAATAAATTTAAAGGCTTTAAAAGCACTGTACACTCATATTTATCATTATGATAAAATATGCATAAAATTTACCATTTTAACTATTTTTTCAATGGACAGTTCATTGGTACTGATTGCACTCACGTTCATGAGCAATCATTACTTTCCACTCACAGAACTTTTCTCATCTTTCCACGCTAATACTCCATATCTGAAACATATTTGCTCCCCATTCTCCCTTCTCCTCCCCCAATTACTACTATTCTTTCTTTCTTTCTTCTTTTTCTTTTTTCGTATTTTAGGGAAGGGTTTACAGGGTGTTCAGGGTCTCACTACTAAATTGGACCCTAGTGATCCGCCTGTTTACAGCCTCCCAAGAGCTGGCATTACAGGCACGCACCACCCCAGTCTCAATTGCTTGTCTCAGGGCACCCTGGGGGTGGGGCCAGCAGGGCAGGCCAGGGGACTGAATCCCCAGCCCTTGTGCCTGCTTGCAGGCGCTTTAATCCATTGAGCTATTTTGCCGACCCTGTTCTTTCTCTCTCTGTGAATCTGACTATTCTAGATATTTCATAAAAATAGGATCACACAATACTTGTTCTTTTGTGTCTGGCTTATATCTCAGAGCTTGACATCTTTACATCTCATCCAAGTCATAGCACATGCTAGAATTTCACTCCTTTTTAAGGCTGAGTTAATATTACATTGTATATAAAAATATTACATTGTATAAACATGTCACTTTTTGTTTATCTATTTCTCTTTTAACAGACCTTTGGGGTGTCTCCACTTTCTAGTTACTGCAAATATGCACACATTTTTAAAGCATAAATAAATATACTACTCACTCCATCCCCATTATGCTTACCCAAAGCAACTTTTTCTTGGGAAGCTCTCTCTCTCTCTCTCTCTCTCTCTCTCTCTCTCTCTCTCTCTCTCTCTCTCTGGAATCTTTTTGTTTTGTTTTGAACTATGTAGTCCAAACTAGCCTTGAACTTACAGCAATCCTACTTCAAAGACCATCCCCCACCCACCCCCACACTGGGATTATAGATGTGGGCCATCACACCTGGCTCCAAAGCAACTCAACATGCCACATTTTTCTTTTTTTTTTTTACAGTTCCAAAATGAGTCTCTGGAAACTTAAGCATTTTAAATGCAAACAGCAGCTTCCTATATAGGTACACTGCACTGAACCCTGCTTTCCTCCCTGCTAAACATTATATCATGGAGGACAGAAAGTCATCCACATGAACACACATTGACAACCATGCCTTCTTTATATTCATTTCCAAGTGCCCCATCCTTCTGAGTGGGTTTAGCAACTTTCCATGGATGTGCTGAGTTTTTTTATATAAAGTTGCCAGGCTTCAGATGGAAAAGAAGTGCACTACAGGACTGATCCAAATGCTTCTTGGTGCTAAGGAAGGGGGGCCTCACCCCAGAGTGCGCTGCAGAAAACAGAACATCTGTTTGCATCAGAATGGAATCCTAGGGTTGACCAGATAATTCAGCGGACTAAAGCACCTACTTAGGCAGGTGCAGCCATCGACTGGGGTTCAATCCTGGCATGCCATGCCAGCCCCACCCCTGGGGCATGCTGAGATGGGGACTGAGACTGGGCGTAGCGGTGTGTGCCTATAATCTGAGTGTTTGGGAGGCTGAAAACAGGAGGATCACTACCAGCCCTATCTGTGTAGCAAGACCCTGTAGACTCTGTACTAAAATACAAAAACAAAAAGAAAAAATATATATAATCCTAGGTATTATAGGACATAGGAAGGAATCAAGAGGGAGAAACCTTCCCCACGGAAAGAACAGTATTTTCCAAAAGGATGTGGGTTTTCCCATTAAAAAAAACTTGGAGATAGATAGATAGATAAAAGGCAGAAAGAAAGAAAAAAAAAAAAAAAAAAGGCAGGTGGCCAATCAAAGGTGAGCAAGCCAGGTATGGAGGAGGAGCACTGATACAGGGGAGAGGAGGTTGTGGATTAGCTGTAGCCAACACTGTCCAAGAGGCAAGAAATGGATACAAAAGACATAAACAAAAAAGGTAACTCTAGAATTTAAGAAATTCAACTGTTACTTTTTTCACTGACGATGTGATGACCTGCAAAGAAATGCCAAAATAATCTGAAAATTATTAGAATTGATAAAAAATATTTAGGAAGGTGGATGTATATAAAATCAGTATGCAAAAAAACATTGCATTTCTATAATAAAAAATGAGACCCTGTAGACCCTGTACTAAAATACATTAAAAAATTTTTAAAATAAAATGGAAAATTATGCAATTTTAAAAATCAAATTGATTTTTTTTTCTTCTTTGTCTTTTTTGGGGGCATTGACACAAGGTAGCTCAAAGTGGCTTCAAACTCACTATGTAACCCAGACTGGGATTACACCCATGTGCCACCACTCAGCTTCAAAACAATCTTACTAATAATCAACAAAAGAAATGCATAACACAAAATTATAAACTCATATTTGAAGATACAGTAAAGGTAGCTTTTAAAATGTGAGATATAGCACATTCTTAAGCAAGAAGAATTAAAGTCACTCGGAAGTTAGTTATCTCACATTGATTTAAATGTTCAGAATAATTCCAATCAGTGTTCTAGGAACTTGACAACAAATTAATAAATGTCTAAAGAATAGAAGAAATAGCCAAGAAACTTCTAAGTAAAAAGAAGGCTGATGAGGGTGGAGAATTGTACTTATTTTTAAAGTCATAGTAATAAGGCAATATGATACTGATGTGATGATTTTTAAAATGTATCAGCATGCTGGGCATAGTGGCACACTGCTGTAATCCCAGCACTCAGGAGGCTGAAGCAGGAGAATCACTGAGGCCAGACTGGGCTACAAAGTGAGTTCAAGACCAACCTGAATTGCATAGTGAAACCCTGTCTCAAAAACACTAAAAAGGACCAGCCAGATAGTTCAGTGGACTAAAGTGCCTGCTTAGGCACAGCGCAGTGGCTGGATTTGATACCTGGCATGCCATGCTGGCCCCACCCCCGGGCGCGCTGAGATGGCAATTGATACTGGGTGTGGTAGCGCGTGCCTGTAATCCCAGCACTAGGGAGGCTGAAAACAGGAGGATCACTACAAGTCTAATCTATGTAGTGAGACCCTGTAGACCCTGCAGACCCTGTACCAAATACATTTTTTAAAAAAGAAAGTTAATAAGGAAGAAAAATGGACATATCTAAAAGATATAGGATATGTATTTATCCTCTGATTCAGGAATTGCGATCAGAATAAATAAAAAGGACATGTTGAGGATTATTATCATCAAATTGTAGAAAATCAATGGCAAAGACAAAAATCTAAAGGGAGTAAGAAAGGAGAGGCAGAGTCTCTGCAAAGTGACTACTAGATTAACATCTGATCTCTCCATGACAATAACAAGGGCCAGAAGACAAATATTACCTTTAACAGGAGAAGAAAAAATGTCAACTCATAATTCCTTGACTAGCAAAATGATCTTCCAAAATTAGAGGTGAAACAAATACCTTTCTAAGCAAATAAAATTAAGGAAGTTGACTGTCATTAGATCCACCAGTTTTGCACTGGCGCATTACAAATTCAGTAATTTAAAACAGCACATTTGGGCAACCCATTAGGTACCCTCCTGTTCTCTTAGGAGCAATTACTATTCTCCATTCCTATTCCCTATTCCTTTACTCCAGTAAAATTTCCTCCTCTAAAAAAAAAAAAAAAAAAAAGGACCAGGGAGACAGTTTGGAAATCTAAGCCGCTGCCTGGCAAGTGTAAGGACCTGGGTTCGATCCCCAGTACCCATGCCTGCTGGCCATGAAACACCAGGCTGGCTGTGCCAGCCACTGAAATAGGTGCACACCTATTATCCCAGCAGTGGGGAGGCTGAAACAGGAGGATCACTGTGAGTCTAAGCTGCATAGTGAGACTCTGTACCAAATACATAAATAAAAGAAAAAAAATTTAAAACAGCACATTTATTAACTTATTGTTTCCAGGGGTTGGTAACGTGGGTGCAGGTTAGCTGCGTCCTGGGCTCAAGGTCTCCTCAGGTTAACATCAAGAAGATAGCCAGGACAATGCGCATGCGTCGGGACTATGGTACTCCCAGATAGCCTCATGACCAGGAGTTGGAGAAACCACACTAGGCAAAGAACTTGCACCCAGATCAGGAGTGAAACTCATTAATCAGGGTGATGTAGCTCGAGAAATCTGGTCAGAAGATATCATCTGGCGAGATGGCTTTTCCCAAGAGGATGCCAAAAGATGCACGGAGGATGACACAAATGCTGAAGAGGGGAGGCTACAGAATATGAGTGAAGAGTTATAAATCAGATGCTGGAGTCTGCCTTCCAATATGTAACCACAATTTTGATGATATTAAATTTTTTTCAACTAAATAAATAAGTAAAATTGATTCAAGCCATATAGAAACAGCCACTGTCGACACCAATGCTGGGCGACTGGCAATTCAGGGTACCACTGCCCAGTGTTGTGCCTCTTCTCCCCCAAGAGATTGTTTATCAGATATCACAAGACAGAGAAACCAAATCCTTTGCCATTGATCAAGCCACATTCATTCAGGTCCTAGATTACTGCCCGATCAATACTACTTAACAGCTCCAAGCCACAGACTCAAGTCTTTACACACAAAAAATCTATTTCTGTGGGAAGATTAACAGTTCTGTGGTTGAGCGTTGGTTTAGTTACTAGCAGACCCAGTACCCTCCCCCCTTCCCCCAGGCCGTGTCTGTTTCAGCTAAAGCAGGGGCTCTGGTGTCCCTCACCAGACAGAGGTTTAAGCCCCTGCTGTCAAAGCCAACATTCCTGCAACTTCAGTGGTTCCGAATGTTCTGATTAATCCAACATTAACTGGGTTCAAAAACATTCTTATTACCACTAATATGATATCACAAAATACTGCCAGTGAGTTGTCAAATGCATTGAAAACGAAGTATGAAGATGATGTGTCAGGTGTGGTGGCGCATGCCTGTAATCCCAGCACTCAGGAGGCTGAGGTGGGAGGATGGTTGCCAGTTCGAGACCAGCCTGGGCTACAAAATGAGCTTAAGGCCAGCTGGAGCTGCATAGTGAGAGCCTGTCTCAAAAAGATCACAAAAAAAGGATGATGATGATGATGATGATGATGACAACGACAATGATGACGATGATGTGGTGACTATAATAATTTGTAGCCTGCCTGATGCATGTAACATGCATACTTGGTCCTGAATTCTTTGTACTGAGATTAAGTATGATGGGTGTTTTCAAGTTGTTTTAGAAACTGTAACTAGCCAAAATAAGTGAGACCAGAGAGGTTACCTCAAGGCCCATCCATTTATTTCAGACACAGATGGTGGGGTTTTTTCCCTACAGGACTACCCCATTCAGGTTTCTTATCAGCCTCCATGTTAAACCTGCAGTCCTTAGAGATTAACCAGGATTCCCAGCTGCTAAATTATGTGAACTAAAAGTTATACCAAACTGAGCAAGGCTGGGGCAACCTAATGAGAGCAAAAACTCAGTTTTTGTTTTGTTTTCTTTTTTGTTGTTTTTTGAGAATCTTGCTATGTGGTTCAGGCTAGTCTTGAACTGAAGCTGGCCTCAAGCTTGCAGTGATCCTCCTGCCTCAGCTTCCTGGGTGCTGAGACTACAGGTGTGAACCACCACTCCCAACAACTGTTTCTTGTACCAAACCCTCTACCCCTCGCAACATTTTGCAGCAATGATCATCTATTGGTCTGGCTAAAACTAACAGATATGTGAAGGAAGGATGGGCTCCCATACCCCCTTGCCAGTAGTGTTAGGGAGGTCACCAAGCAGTAATTTTGTCGGATTCCTAATGCTGACTTCTACTGACTGGGTTCCCCTGCTGTGTGACACAAAGTGTGTTGGGAGTTTGATGATGCACTTCTAATGTCAGTACTCTGGAAGGCTGAGGATCACAAGTTAAAGCCTGGCCTGGGCAACTCAGCTACTTACCACGATCCTGTCTCAAAATATAAATATAGACAGACAGACAGACAGACAGACAGACAGTCAGACAGATAGGGCTAAGGATATAGTTTGATGTAAAGGTCCTTTTGTGGGGGCAGGCCTCTGGGGGCCAAGCCACAGGAATTAGTAACTAACAAAGCTACAGAGAAAAGAAGACAGCGCAGAAGGTGAACACCCATCTTGACTTACCTTAGTGAAAAACTGAAAGCAGATGGGTCCCAACATAGAGGCAAAGACTAGCACTAGGCCTTCTGGGATGTGTGTCAGGGATGTCCTGAGAGGAGACGAGAATGTAAGTGGTGGCTGATAGAGAGGCTACTCTAAGGGAAACAAAGTCTGGAGGATGTGTTGGGATTCAGTAGAAATACCACAAGGCCATACACATGCAAAGATGGGACAATGAGGTTTGAGGTTATAACTCAAGAAATTTTAGGGGATTGTATGGATTGGTGTTTCAGCAGGATGCACACGCTTTGTTGATGTCTGTTTGGGGGTCCTTGTACTAGAAAGGAGACTCCAGCATTGTGTGAGGAAGCAAGTCCAGGGATATACCATGACTCCAGTGTTGTTTACCAGCAGGTGTATCTCAGGAACCTTCTACAGATGCTGCTGAGCAAAGGGAGGCTACAGAGCTTTGTCCACCTCTCCAAGTAGCTGGCAGTCACTGCTTAAGGCTGCCTTAAGCTAGGTCAGTTCACACCCATGCACCCACATCCTGGAGGTGAGAACTGCACTGGCTCTGTGACAGGCCAGCTCCAAAATCTCCCCAGTACCTCAAGGACAGCAGTTTCAAAGTGGGCTGATTTGGGTGATGATTAGAGGGCAATGGAACTAGGAGGATGAAGGTGCTGACAGTGGATGTTGACCTCCTTTCTCCCCTCCCTGTTGGGGGCAGAGTCCTCTAGCAGTGACAGATGGGAAGAACACTTGCCACTGTTGGTCCCCATGTTAGTGCAGTCTCCCCAGGTCACATGTGTAGCTGCTGGAAAGGTCCCTGGGATGAGATCCTACCAATGTTGTCCAAGCAGGTGAACTAGAGTAAGAAGGAAAGAGCCAAGATCACAGGCCAGGGTGCTGAATGGCTCCCATAACATAGCAGAGACTACTAGCCGGCCATCAGGATATTCAAGTGGGGAAAAAGAGGAGCAAGTCAAGGCAGAGTGGGCACTAGCAATGAGGCAAGTGTGGAGCTTTAGAAAAATTCAAGAAGGTATTCACTCTCTCATTTGTTTAAGTTTGAACCAGAGAGTGAGCTCCCTAAATGTTGTACCCTGGGCATATGATTGCTTCATCCTAGTCCTTGCCAAAAGTCTGTAATCAAGAGGCTCAGGACATTCTTGAGCCCTGTATAGGCCAAATCTGTCTCCAAAAGTAAAACCTGGATAATGTGAACTGATTTAAACTCCAAGAACCATTGAAGCAAGTCAAGTTTCTCAAGAATCACTCTGCGCCTAAGAAGATCCATCCTCTCCCTCCTCTGTCTGACAGGAGAATGCTGGCCCTACTGAGCCAGATCCACTTGGAGCCCTTGCTCTGTTCCTTTCCATGGGGTGGCGCTGCTGGAATGCCCCTGGGGAACAGCCTTGGCCCTGAAGCCTAGCCCCAGACTCTGGCCACTGCAGTCTTTATTCTATCTTTTTCTAGGCCTGGACAACTGCTCCTTCTGGGATTCATAGAGAGGAGGGATACCGTTGGAAGAAACTGACAACAAATTTCACTCAATTTCTGAGAGAACTTGGTGTTTTATTTTGCATAGGCAGGGGAAGGTCCTGTTCACCCTGGCAGATGTTTAGGACTCAGAATCACGCACAGACTTATAAGGAAGCAGCCATGCTTTGGGGGTAGCCTTCACTAGCTCTGCCCCAGTCATCTGGGGCTTGGGCACACCTGTCTGGAGGGCATGCTGGTCAACTGAAGAAGGTGTGCCTCCTTCTTTGGGCTCCTCCTGGGGGACAGCAGATCTGAGACGGACTTGGGTACTCTGGTTCCACATGCTCACACCAGGAGCCAGTTTCATGGCTTCTGGCTGCACCATGGGCTTCCACAGCATCTGGGATGAGGCCTCAAGGATCCGAGGTGCCATTTGTGGCCATCCAAAATGCTGATCTTCCTTGTCAGCAAGCTCCAAGCCCTGTGGAGGCACCCGGGTCCGGCCAGCCCACAGCTCACCCAGAAGCTCAGCTTCCCCCTCGAAGCCACTTGGCCAATTGGCACTGGGCCATGATTTAGGACTAGGGCTTTGAGGAACTTCAGCCAGCGTTGGGTGCTTGGAAAGGAAGTGGGTCCCACGGCTGGGAAATGGCACCTTTGACCTGGAGGATGGCCGGAGTGGGCCTACGTTTAAAGCGGGGTCTGGGTCTATAGCACAGAAAGGAATGTTAGACTGGAGAGGCAAGAAAGCTGCTAAGGAAACACGGTCACCAAGCCCAGGACCTTGAGGTCTGCCACTGGCCTCTGTCTTTCCGCGCCGCTGGCGCCCCTGGAAGGCTTCCAAGGGTTGAGATTTAGAGTCTGGGACCATGATCTCAGTCAAGGAGTGCACAGAGTGGTGGGAAAACCCTGCAGCGTCCAGACGCGCCTTGAGGGCAGCCCAGGAGTGAGGCACATCTGAGTCCCACAGCTCGGGAGACCACACTGACTCAGAGGAGCTGAGCACAGTGAGGTCGTCCCCAGAGAGACAGGACAGGCCCCAGGGCATGCTGGGCATCCCCTCTGCAGCTGCATCCAGCTGGGGGGTGCAAGAGGAGGGGTCTGTGAACAACAAGGAGTCCAGGGTCTGCCCACTGTCTGCAGAAGCCTGAGGGCTGGCTACTTGGGATGGCTCCAACAAAGAGTGGGGACCCTGGACACACATGGCCTCCCCGGACAGCTGCGAACTCCTATTCAAGGACCCAGCCAAGTACTGATTTGTCGCCTGGACGCCAGGTTCCGGTAAAGTCCCTCCAGGCCTTGCCTTCTGAAGGAGCTCGGGTGTGGTCAGAGAGCCAGGGGTGGCTCTCTGCTCTGGAGACCGCTCTTGGGAGCCTCTAGTCAGCCACAATCTTCCTAAAAGATTCCGGTCCGGGTTCCCAGGGTCCTGGGGGAAACAAGGTGCAATGAGAGAAGGGAAGGGGACCTGAGATCTCAGTGGAAGGAGCCTGGGGGCTGGGCTTACTTGGTCCTTGTCCTCCTCTACCTCTTCCTCTTCGATTTCCAAGTCCTCCAGACTGTCGAAGTCAGGCGCCTGCACCACGGGCACCGCGCCCTGAGCCCAGGTGTCTGTCACACACGCCTGTGGCTCCTCATCCTCACCCCACGTGGGGTCCTCGGCCATTGCGTATTCACCCTCGTCACGGGCTAAGAAGCGCCACTGGACGATCTGCAGCATGGCCTCCCGGGCCTGGTTGACGGTGAACGGGATGCACTGTGGAAGCCACGGAGAGGCTCAGCAGTCCGCAGGGCGAGGGGCGTGGGGTCCGGAAAACCCAGGCCCCGGCCCACCTGCTGGTTCAGGTAGACTTGGAAGGCAGAGTCCATGACACAAGCTAGCAGGTCAGCCAAGATGTCGCCCACCACGTCCTCGCCCTCCTCAAGCACCAGCAGCGCGATCCACTCCGCCTCGCTCAGCCGCCCCGGGACGATGTCCACCTGTGGCACCGGCACCGTGGGTGGGCGCGCCTTCTCCACCTTGGACCGCGCAGCTGCGCGGTCTCGAGCCGCCCTCTGTGGGGATGAAACAGAGCTCTCAGGGCAGGCAGCGGAGAGAAGCTGGAAGGAAGCAAGGTAGGAACATAGACTGGGCCACATTTACTCTAATGCCACTGGCCAGGCATGGTGGCCCATGCCTATAACCCCAGCATTCAGCAGGCTGAGGTGGAAAGATTGCTTGGAGTTTGAGGCCGGCCTGGGCTAAAAAAATAAAAAATAACAACAAAAAATATAGATAGATAGATAGATAGATAGATAGATAGATGCTTTTTAAGTATGGGATATAAATAATTTATATTTTTTTTATACCAGGCTTAGTAGGCTTTTCTAACAGCCTACTAAGCCTACTCTACAAAGAAACTGGAGCTTGATGGGACTTGGCCATCACTTGCTTGAGAGAATACAGTAAACCCAAGCTATAAATCTCTAACTCAGTGGCTCCCTGCTATTTACAGCACTAAAAGTACAAAGTTCTTGAGTTCAAAGTAGAATAAGTGCTTCCCTGGCAAGCGCAAGGGCCTGAGTTCAATCCCTGGTGGTTCCACCAAAAAAAAAAAAAAAAAGCAAAAACCAAAAAACTTGAGAATAGTGAATCAATAAGCACACTGAAACTATTGGTGCAATTTAGTCTCCTGCATTTTTTAACCTACTTTTGTTTTTTGTAATACTGGCTGGCATTGAACTCCTGGAGATCCTCCTGCCTCAGCCTCCTGAGTGCTGGATTTATAGGTTTGTGACACCATGTCCAGCTTACATATGTATTTTTAACTCCCATTTGATGTAATTTGATCAGGATCACACAAATAGATAGTATACTCAGAATTCATATAAAAGTCTGTGGTTTGACTTTATCCTGCCTGCTAAACAAAAACATTTTCAACAAACAAAAAAAGGATAAATATCTTCAAATATATTAAAAATTCAGCCTGACAAGTGCAAGAACCTGAGTTCAATCCCTGGTTCTGCCCCCACCAAAAAAAAAAAAAAAAAAAAAAAATTCAAAAGAGCTAGGCATAGTGATGCAAACCTATAATCCAGTAGGCTGAGACAGGAAGGCCAGTTGAAAATTAGAGGCCCCATCTGAGTTATTAATAGATGACTATTAATATTTGAAAAGATCGCCAACCTTTTAAAAATATCAAAATATGCAAACTTAATTTAAATTCCAATTTTTAGGTCATCAAAGTATAAATTATTTTCAAAATAAGGATATTCAGTGGTAGTGATATTTTGCTAAGGTACATACTGTGACACCATGCTAACAGGAATTGGAGGTCATGGGAATATTTTTGGGAAGTCATGCAACAATATGTATCACGAACATTAAAAATGTTTATGATGCTGAATCTGTGGTACATGCCTGCAATCCCAACTAGTAGGGAGGCTGAGGCATGAGGACTGCATGCACAGACTGTGAGAGCTTGAGATTCACTGGACAATATAGCAATATTCTATATCAAGAGGAAAAAAGAGAAAAGTATTTCTCCTTCTCAATCTTGCAATTTCAGTGCCATAAATACATCCAAAAGGCTTATGTTAAAATAAAAATAAAAAAGGTATACTCTAGCACCATGTACTAAACTAAGACTCAAATGGATCAAAGATATATATATATATGATAACACAAAAACACTGTGCTGGGAGATAAAACAGGTACAACTGTTGAAGATATAGGCATATGCTAGGACTTTCTGAATGGGACCCCAGTGGCACAAGAAATTGTACCAAGAATCAATAAATGGAATCATATCAAACTAAAGGAAACAACAGATCAAGAGACAACCTGCAAAATAGGAGGAAAAATTACCAGCTATTTTTCAAAGTCTGATATCTAGAATATATAAAGAGCAACAACAACGAAAAGACTTCCCAAATAAAAGACCCAGTCAAAACATGGGCAACTAAAATGAACAGACGTTTCTCAAAATGAGTGCAAATGGCCAATAGACACATAAGAAAATTTCAAGATCTCTGGCCACTAAAGAAATGCAAATTAAAACAACACTGAGATTCTATCTTACCACAGAAATAATGGCTCTCATCAAGAAGTCAAGGGCCAGGGACATAGCTCAGCGGCTTAAGTGCCTGAATGGCAAGTGCAAGGTCTTGAGTTCAATCCCCAGTACCAAAATAATGATAATAATAATAATAATAATAATAATAATTTTAAAAAGAAATCAAATAATAACAAACATTGTGAGGCTGTGCCCGGAGGTTTAGGAGGAACTCTTCTGAACTGCTGGTGGACAAAACTAGTAAAACCATTCTATAAATCAGTATGGAAATTCCTCAGAAATTAAAACTATGAAATTTCATTTGATCCAGTTATTCCCCTTTTAGTTATCTAGAAGACATTCCAAGCCAAAAGAGTTAAGATAGTACCTTAGAGTGGTACATGCATACCCTTATTCTATCCTATCCTATCCTATCCTATCCTATCCTATCCTATCCTATCCTATCCTATCCTATCCTATCCTAATTTTGAGACAGGTCCTGCTATACAGTTAAGGCTAGCTTTGAACTCACGATGTACCAAGGCTAGCTTTGGTCTCACTATGCCTTGAATTCACACCAACACTTCTGCTTCAGCCTCCTCAGTGCTGTGACTACAGGCATGTGCCACCATGCCCAGCTTGCATACCCATATTTATAACACCACAATTCACACTAGCTAAATCTTGAAAGTAGTTTATGTGTCAACATATGGATAAAGAAAATGTAGCACTTGCACAAAATGGAGTACTATTCTGCTATAAATAAGTATGGACTTGAGGCATTTGTAGGAAAATGCATATACTCTAAGACTAGAATGTTAAGTGAAATAAATCAGATATGCAGGTTTACATATCACACGGTTCCCCAAAAATGAGAAAGCCAAAATAAATAAGCAGCAAGATAAAGGATAATAGGAAATAGGGAAATAGGTCTTTTGCAAGGGGGAAGAGGACCAAGAGGTGGGAGGAAGGGTGAAAAAATGGATGAAAATGAACTAAGATGTGTTATGTATGTGTACAAAAATCCCACCATGAATGATTTAATTATGTACTACAAAAAATGAACTAATAAAATGTAACATTTGAAAACACAAACACACAGATATATATATATATATATATATATATATATATATATATATGTATGTATTCCTTTAGTGTTACTTTTAATATACTAGCTGGAGTGTTATTTATAATAGCAGATTATTGAACATATATCTAAGGAACAATAGATGGTTAACTATGCTACATCTAAATAAGGAATATCATGTAATGATTAATCTTTTTCTTTTTGGCACAGGGTCTCACTATGCAGCTCTGGTAGTGACCCTCCTGTCTCAGCCTCCCCAGTGCTTGGATTACAGGGTTGCTCCACCATGCCCCGTTGTGGTGACGGCTCTGTGGCATGGCATGTGGTGCTGGGTATTGAATCTTGGTCCTTGCAGTTGCCAGGCAGGCACTTAGACCACTGAGCTATCTCCCCAGTCCTAAAATAATCTTTAGAAACAATTTGCAACAGCGTATGAAAATATTCATGACGAATTTTAAGTCAAAAGAACAAGATAGAAAATAGCACAAATTAAACAACACCCTACTCAGCAATCAATGGGTTACAGATGAAATTAAATAAGAAATGCAACAATATATATAATTCAATGAAAATTCATCCACAACTTATCGGAATTTATGAGATGTGATGAAAGCACTTCTCAGAGGGAAATTCACAGCTGTGAACTCACACATTAGGAAAACAGAACAGGAACAAATAAACACCCTAATGCTGCACCTCCAACATCTAGAAAAGGAAGAGCAAACCAAACTCAGAGCCCAAAGATGGGAAGAGATCATAAAGATTAGAACAGAAATTAATTTAATTGAGATGAAGAAAACAGTTCAAAGAATTAACAAATCAAAAAGCTGGTTCTTTGAAAGATTAAATAAAATTTATAAGCCCCTAGCCAACCTCATCAAAAAGAGGAAAGAAAAAATTCAAATATAAGCAATAAAGAATGAAAAGGGTGTAACTACTATAGACCCAGTGGAAATTCAGAAGATTATCAATAGCT